GGGGAGGGGGCGCTGGGGGGGCCGGGGAGATTCGGGGTCCCCCTGAGCCCCCCGTGCCCCCCAGGCATCGCCTCCTTCCAGTGCCTGCTGGGGCTGGGCGTGTGGAACCCCCGCGGGCCCGACCTGAGCAACTGCACCAGCCCCTGGGTCAACCAGGTGGCCCAGAAGGTACCCGGGGGCACCCCGAAACCGGGCCGGGGGGGACCCCAGAGAGCAAACCCCGGAACGGGGACACCCGAAACAGAAATATCCCAAAATTGGGACACCCGAAACAGAAATCCACCAGAAATGGGGACACCCGAATCAGAAATCCACCAAAATTGGGGCACCCAGAAATGGGGACACCCGAAACAGAAATCCCCCAAAATTGGGACACCCGAAACAGAAATCCACCAGAAATGGGGCACCCAAAACAGAAATCCACCAAAATTGGGACACCCTGAACAGAAATCCACCAAAATTGGGACACCCAAAACAGAAATCCCCCAAAATTGGGGCACCCCGAAATAGAAATATCCCAAAATTGGGACACCCAAAACAGAAATCCCCCAAAATTGGGGCAGCCCGAAACTGAAATCCCCCAAAATTGGGACACCCAAAACAGAAATCCCCCAAAATTGGGACCCCCAGAAATGAGGACACCTGAATCAGAAATCCACCAAAATTTGGACACCCCAAAACAGAAATCCACCAGAAATGGGGACACCCGAAACCGAAATCCCCCAAAATTGGGACACCCCGAANTCCACCAGAAATGGGGACACCCGAAACCGAAATCCCCCAAAATTGGGACACCCCGAAATAGAAATCCCCCAAAATTGGGACCCCCAGAAATGGGGACACCCCTAAACAGAAATCCCCCAAAATTGGGACCCCCAGAAATGGGGCATCCGAAACAGAAATCCCCCAAAATTGGGACACCCAGAAATGAGGACAACCGAATCAGAAATCCCCCAAAATTGGGACCCCCAGAAATGGGGCATCCGAAACAGAAATCCCCCAAAATTGGGACACCCAGGAATTGGGACACCCGAATCAGAAATCCACCAAAATTGGGGCACCCCAAAACAGAAATCCACCAAAATTGGGGCACCCCAAAACAGAAATCCACCAAAATTGGGGAACCCCCAGAAATGGGGACACCCCTAAACAGAAATCCCCCAAACCCACCCTGGGGATCTCGGGGCCCCCCCAGACCCCCTGTGACCCCTTGATGGATTTTGGGGAGCCCCCAGACCACCTGTGACCCCCTGGGGGATCTCGGGGACCCCCTGTGACCCCCTGGGGATTTTGGTGACCCCCAGACCCCCTGGGGGACATCGGGGAGCCCCCAGACCCTCTATTACCTCCCCAGACCCCCTGTGACCCCCTGGGGGATCTTGGGGAGCCCACCAGACCCCCTGTGATCCCTTGATGGATTTTGGGGACCCCCAGACCCCCTGTGACCCCCTGGGTATCTCAAGGACCACCTCTGACGCTCTGTGACACCTTGATGGATTTTGGGGAGCCCCCAGACTCTCTGTGACCCCCCTGGGGATCTCCAGGACCCCCCCCAGACCCTCTGTGACCCCCCGGGGATTTGGGTGACCCCCCAACCCCCTGGGGGACATCGGGGAGCCCCCAGACCCCCTGTGACCCCCCGGGAATCTTGGGGACCCCCTGTGACCCCTTGATGGATTTTGGGGAGCCCCCAGACCCCCTGTGACCCCCCAGGGATGTCGGGGACCCCCTGTGACCCCCTGGGGATTTTGGGGACCCCCAGACCCCCTGTGACCCCCTGGGCATCTCAAAGACCACCTCTGATGCTCTGTGACCCCTTGATGGATTTTGGGGAGCCCCCAGACCCCCTGGGGATCTCGGGGACCCCCTGTGACCCCCCTGGGGATTTTGGGGACCCCCTGTGACCCCCTGGGCATCTCTGGGACCGTCTGTGACCCCTTGATGGATTTTGGGGAGCCCCAGACCCTCTGGGGGATCTCAGAATCCCAGACCCTCTGTGACCCCTTGATGGATTCTGGGGAGCCCCCAGTCCCCTGTGACCCCTTGATGGATTTTGGGGAGCCCCCCGACCCCCTGTGACCCCCCGGGGATGTCGGGGCCCCCCAGATCAAGAGCGGGGAGAACGCGGCGGCCATCGCGGCGGAGCTGGCGCGCCACACGCGGGGCCCGGTGTTCGCCGGCGACGTCAGCTCGGCCGTGCGGCTGCTGGAGCAGCTCCTGGACATCCTGGACGCGCAGCTGCAGGCGCTGCGCCCGCTCGAGAGGGAGTCCGCGGGCAAGAACTACAACAAGGTGCGCCCCCAAACCCCAAATTTGGGGTGCGGGATGGGGGGGGGACGGGAGGGACAGGTGGGACCCCAAAACTCCAAATTTGGGGTGCAGGAACCTCAGGTGGGACCCCAAAACTCCAAATTTGGGGCGCAGGAACCTTAGGGGGACAGGAGGAACAGGTGTGACCCCAAAACTCCAAATTTGGGGTGCAGGATGGGGGGGGGGACGGGAGGGACAGGTGGGACACCAAAATCCCAAATTTGGGGTGCAGGAACCTCAGGTGGGACCCCAAAACTCCAAATTTGGGGTGCAGGAACCTCAGGTGTGACCCCAAACCCCAAATTTGGGGTGCAGGAACCTCAGGTGTGACCCCAAAACTCCAAATTTGGGGCGCAGGATGTGGGGGGGACGAGAGGAACAGGTGTGACTCCAAACCCCATATATAATATGTGAAATAGTTATTTTTAAATTTATTATTATTATTATTATTAGTAGTAGTAGTAGTAGTAGTAGTATTATTAATATTAGTATTACTATTAGTATTAGCAGCATTTTTATTATAATTATCATTATAATTATTATATAATTATAATTAAGATTTCTAGTACATTATTATTATACTAATAAAACTACTGCTAATATACTAATATACTTTAAATAATATGCAAACATATTGATATACTAATATACCAATATATATTAATGTACTAATACTACTAATAATTTACTACTATTAATAATTATTAGCATTGATTTCTTTGTTGTGAGGTAGGATGGGGAATGTGGTAAAGTATATTCAAAACTTTAAAAAGGTATAAGGAAAATTTTATTAAGAATAATTTAAAGAAAGAGTAATAAGAATTAGAATAAAAATTTTCAAATATTTTTGACTATTTTTTTTACTGATACTGTAAAAAACAGAACTTAAAATTTTAGTTAGCTCATAATTTTTAGAGTAGTTTTTTAATTTTTAGTTTATTTAGGGAGAGTTGGGGTTTTTTTGTTAATATTGTAGCTATATTTAATAAAAAAAGGAAGTTTGGGATCTTTTTTTGGGTTGTTATTCCCCAGATTTTGCAGCTGTTCTTCCCCAGATTTTGGTGTTGTTCTTCCCCAGATTTTGGGGTTGTTCTGCCCCAGATTTTGGGGTTGTTCTTCCCCAGATTTTGGGGCAGTTCTGCCCCAGATTTTGGGTCGATTTCCCAGATTTTGGGGCTGCTCTTCCCCAGATTTTGGGTTGTTCTGCCACAGATTTTTGTTTTGTTCTTCCCCAGATTTTGCGGCTGTTCTTCCCCAGATTTTGGGTCGATTTCCCAGATTTTCAGTTGTTCTTCCCCAGATTTTGGGGTTGTTCTTCCCCAGATTTTGCGGCTGTTCTTCCCCAGATTTTGGGGTTGTTCTTCCCCAGATTTTGGGGTTGTTCTTCCCCAGATTTTGGGTCAATTTCCCCAGATTTTGGGGTTGTTCTTCCCCAGATTTTGGGGTTGTTCTTCCCCAGATTTTG